ATTATTCTACACAAACCTGGTCTGGACTCAATCAAGGCTCATTTCCACCGGAGCCAGGCAGATGAGTATTTATTTACAGATGAGGCGATTCCTGATGTTTGCTTTATTATTTCAGTGCAGTCCCATCTTATTCAAACAAAGATACAGTATTATAGAAGAAGACCCCCCACCCCAAACAAATACACACCTCCACACACACACAGCTGTGTGTGTGTGACCCCCCCCCCACACACACACCCCCACACACACGCACACACACACACCCCCACGCACACACACACACACACACACACACACCCCCACACACACACACACAACACACGCATGCAAACACTTCCCTGACCTGTTCCGAATGTTTGTCCAGACTAAATATGCTTATTGATCTTTTGGGTGACCACAAATCTCACCAGCCAGCTTTTAATATTCACCTTAGTTTGTTGTTGTATAGTTGTCCTTCAGAACACAGTAGCAATTCTGGGACTCACTGCTAAATAGGACATACATTTCATAGTCCATAATATATTTTATGACAGCAAATTGTCACATATGGGGCTTCAGAACTGTGTTTTATGAAAATCAAGTGAATTTAGAAATGTTCAGATGAGGCGATTCCTAAGGCAACACTGCTTGCAATCTTGAGAACTCTTGTGATTATCTAGTTCCAAATCTACTAGAAATATTCCTTGATGTTGGTGATAATGCATTGGGTAAACATTTATAAAATGGAAGTGACAACATATTTTAGGAACAGAATGAAACAATGAATTGAAATGCAGTAAATAGTTCCAGAGCTGAACTTTACAAAACGACAGCAGGAATATTACTATTGTGATTGTGATCTGACGTTGGTGCTTCAGGATTACATTTGTATATTGTTAAAAAGGATACACTTTACACTGATATTACCTATGCAATTAAAAATGGAACCAAACATACAATATGGTCATATGGAAATTAAAACCAAAATGACCCAAGGCAAAAAGTTCTTCACCTACCAAGGGGAGCATGTAATTTTCAGGTCACCGAATGTCATTTTAGCAGTCAAAGGCACCAACCCTGGTATCAATCTTAGGCTTAATGACAATGGTTTTGACCTCATTATCCTTGCCCCCCTGACCATCTCGTTCCCCTTACTCATTTATCTCTCTTTTTTTCTTTTTTAATTCTCCCGGTGTGTGACCCATATATCAGCCTCATGCTGGTCTTCTTTGAAAAGTTGGATATTGCCCTGCTATGTCATCTGTACATGGCATGATGGAGGTCTCTCTGTGACTCCACATAATTGAAGTGTACACCATGGCGGTGCCACTTCTGCCATTGGAGAACTTAATAATATCTTTATTCATTGCAAAAGCAATGGTTATAGCCATATGTCGCTGACATCAAGTGAAAAGTATTTTGGTAATAGCATAAACTTTTAATTCCTGATATACCATTTTATTAACGCAACATTCACAGATACTGCATATCTTCTTTCTCTCTAATTCAAGGAAGAAGCTAAGAGGCTGTTTGGGAGTTTTTTATCCCTCCATTTCTCTCTTTCTTTCTCTCATTTCCTTTCAATGAAGAGTATCAAAGCTCTGCTTCTGACATCTTCTCTGTGATAGAAATACCAAGAGAGCTCTCCAGCAAACTCTACTTGATACAGTGACTGAGACATCCGACATGCTTTGCAGAATTGAATGTATTTGAGATATTGCAGGGAGATATTGCACTTTAATGCTTTTCAGATCATGTTCTTCTACAATTAGGTTTATAAATGCTGGCATGTTCATCTTGAAATACTTTCTGTTTATTGTACTCTTTTGCCTTTTTCATACTTTCTCATAAATAGTTATTTCTTCTCTGCAGACCTCACATTTATTCTGTGTCATGATGCCTAAACTCCAGCCCCCGCTTTTCTTCCACTGTGGAGATGAAGCCATTACTGTTTGAAAACATTTATCTCATTTTGGGGGACATGTTTTAAAGTAATGTGTTTTCTTTCCTGATTACAGCGTTTTTTCGTCCATAAAAATGAACATTTTCAAATAATGTTTTCTTATGTGACATAAAAGCATTTTTTTCTCCAAGTATTTACAGTGTTTAGTCTTTATGTACCACACAATATGTGACTAGAAAAAGTTAGTTTGTTTGTTTTTCATGCACAAACATGATACATTTCAGTTAGATGTTCATCAGAATGGATGGGTTTAAGTTAAGCAAGCATCTCATTATTTGTCAGCCAGTATGTAAATACTTGCACTCTAAAAATCTAGTACACCACTGTTTCAAATCAAGTTTATTTCATACATTTTTATTCAGGTAATTTGTGGGGTTTGTGTTTGTAACCTATATACTGTATTATAGCATTCATAGTGACACGTTTAGAAACAGCAGATGATCAGGTTCACTATGACTTTAAAGGGCACCATTTCTTTTTGGATGTTTGTGATCACATGGGAAGGTCATAGGTCAGGTCAGTCATTTGTTTGTGGAAAACATGCATGAAAGCAGCCGATGTATTAGAGTTTAATGTATTAGAGTTTTTACACTAAACTCCAACACAGGCCTGTGTTATTCTATTTTCGGAGTTAAAAGTTTTTTACAAGCGACATCGAGGACGAAGATTTTATTGCCTTTAGTGATTTGGAGACACACGGATACTTTGGTAAACTTGTTAGCATGTCATATACTGTATGCTATAGTTCTCTGAAAAACTCTTAATATGTTATGCTAACATATCAGGAATGTTCTCAGTTCATTTGAGTTGTTCATGTGTCATGTAACGTTAGCATACTGTACAACTATTCATGTTGTTGCCTCTATTCTATATTTATTACCTTTCAAGATGACATGTCTGTTCTTGGTGCTGGATTTTATCAAATAAATTTTCCTCAGAAATGCGACTTACATGCCGGTGTGACTTATACATGTATTTTTCTTCTTTCTTATGCATTTTATGGCTGCTCCGACTTGTACTCCGGAGCGACTTATAGTCCAGAAAATACTGTATGCCTTCTTATTTGAACAAACAACCACAAAAGGAAACACAACAAATTAATTAAATTAATTATTATGACATTGTATAACAATATAATAAAAATAGAAGTGTCTTACTTTTGAGTTGTTTTTTTTTTTTACTATAACATGAAACAATTGTTCAACTGCAACAAAATTATTGTGGTCATACTTTGAGGTTTCATTATAATGTAATCCAATATTTAGCATTTAACTAGACTTATGACAAAGTCTGACACTAAGGAGTTAAAAAAAAACCCCAAAAAACAATACTTAAGATTTATGTAGATCAGATGCTTTAATGTGTTTTCAATATTTTTAAAAATCTTTTCATACCAATAAAAGCAGCTTTGTAAACTTGTTTTGAATATAATTTTCCCAATCAGTATGCAGGCATCACGGTGGCACACAGACACTTGGCTTTTAGTTCAATCACATTTTGAATAGACTGGAACCAATTAAGAGATTTCAAGATGGGATCATGTTTTCCCAAAGGTTTGTGAGGTTAATCGTTCAGCAGCGATAGAGAGAAAATAATCAGAGCCAAATGATGAGTTACTAATCATCCACAGAACACAGGCTCACCTTCTGCACAGAATGCTTGTTTCCATTGTGATAAGGTTGAAAGTAAGTCGATATAAACAGAACAAGCAGTTTAACTTTATTGTCATAAGCATATCTTCCTTTTAGGAATAATTTGGGGGACATGATCTCTCCTAACTATTATTTTTATCTTTATTCTATTTTCTTTTATTTTTTGTCCTATGCAACTAAAATATAGTCTACCAAAATTGTGATCGATACTTCAGTGTTACATCATTTACAAATGAGCATTTCCATGGTGTCAGCAGAACAAGCAACAAAGCTGGTACAGCTTGTTTCATACTGGCTGACAAATAATGAGATGTTCGGGGGAAGTTTTTTTCTTTATTGGTGTCAAGAAAAGTGTTTACTCGCAAGACAAAGTGTTGCCCTAAATAAGACAAGCACCATGGTGTTGAGAACCTATTGACAGACAAAGAGACAAAACGAGAATTAGACATGAGGAAAATACTGTGACACCAGAAGCTAATTAAGGAACAATATTTTTTGGCTAAGAACTGCACTTGACTTGGTTTTTCAGGAGTTATTTTTGTTATATGCACAGACAGGTTAGTTTTTCATGAGTACGACACTCAGTCAAGTCATGCACACTCGTATCACACATACGATGGGTATGACACTCATGGAAAATCATGTTGTATAAATCTCTTGGGTTACTTTGCACAAATTTCTGAAGCAGGAACATGCATTTTTTTAGTTGTTTGAGAACGAGACAATGATTAAGTTTAATATTTGACACCGTCAGCGTTAGTATTTTTATATCCTTATTTTCAACAAAAGTGCTTGAAAACAATTAAATTGTTTCAAGTAAAATTGCTGTAGAAATCTCTTGTGCTCCATTTTTTTATTAAATTTTGAAAAAAATGATTTTCACAGAGTGGGAAAGAGCAAACTACTTTACTGCATTGTTCTGAGTGAAATACTCCCTTCCCACGTTGAAAGCATTCCTGGATATATGGGGCCTGTCAGTAGAAATTTATCAAAAATGCTCAGCAGATATACTGGGGTCTAATACTCTCAGATCAACAGAGTTTTTAGCTGGAAATTCAACCACTTCACGTAAAATTAACTCAGCATATCAGAAACCTAATGCTTAGGTTGACACCCTAACCGCAATTCCTATTGTTTGGCTTTAACTGTGTACACAATACACTTCTATTTGCTCTGCTCTATTTTCCTCTTCAAGAATTAGCCTTAGGGTAGGGTTTATGAATTCACTGTGCTCACTATGCCATTCCTGCCTCCTCATTTACTTAATCGCGTCACCTCTCATTTCTTTGTGTAAGTAAACAGGCCTTTCAACTGCTGTCTCCTTATTGGCCGTCTGCAAGGTTTTTTTTTTTTTTTTCCTTTCTGGAGAGGGGGTGGTGCTTGAAACTGGCTTCACCAGACTTCCTTAACACTCTTGAAGCTTTGAGTGGAACTTTTCTGTGAAACAGCTTTTGGTATAACTGTTGCTAAGGATTAAAGTTATTTACTTACAGCTTGTAAGGATCAACAGGAGATCATGGAGTTACAATAACTGATTCCATTGAATGTGCAAGTGGGACTCTTCACCTGAAAATCCCTGATGAAACACTGAGGTAAAGTATAAATTTCAGAATTCAACTTGTATTAATGAATTTTAACTTCCATTTAACAGTTTTTTCCAGAAATTATGATTGAAAGTATGTAAAATATAGACGTATGCTGAAACCTATGTACGTTATGTATTTGTGTTGCTTTTCTCTCTATTACCTGGGATTGTCTACTTGGAGTAATCAGTTAAAGAACATATTTGCAAGTGAAGCTCAACTGCTTGCTTGTTAATTTGTGGTACTGAAACAAGAATATGACATAATGTGTTGAGCTACACAGACAAAGGACAAATGAACAACGTACATTTGGAGAGTTCTCTGACAATACCAGCATGGAAATAGGAGAATATCAACAAATGGCTTCTGTCAGAAACATAGACAAAGGAGCAGATGTATGGAATGAAAAACCTTTTTGCTTTTTTGTAGAGCAAAGCGAGAGAGCGAGAAACAGAGAGAGAAGTTGAACTCTTTGAACCATGTTCCACTTTCTTTCGGGTTTTTAGGCTAAACACTGCAGAATGTGCTCCTAAATCCTTCCAGCGATTTTTTAATCAGCTCCTCTGTGTCGAACAGGTAGGGAGGAAAATAAAGGGCAAAATGAGGAGTTCAGCACAGAGGATACTTATTTCTGAGGTATAAGACTTTTATATTTGTTGAAACACGTACACACAAGTTGTGCTTTTAGAACCTACAGAGAAATAGGTTAGTCTGTGATTAGCAATGCTTCATTTCCTAATATCCAGACCCTCTGTTCCCACAACACAATCACATGCTCACCAAAGATTCTGCCCTGACCTCTAAGGTACAAATCTGTGTGGTATGAGGGCAGTTCAGAATGTTTGGCTCGCTGTTTTAATGCAGGAAAAATAGCTGCCAAGCATAAGTGACTTAGAACAAATTAGATTCTGTGTTGCATGCTTTCTTTCTGTACTGGATCCTAATTTAGATCTGCCAGAATAAGAATATTAAAATACCTACAATTGCTGGAGTTAGAGTTACTATACGCATTTATTTTACTTGTAATATAGTAACAGTGATAGTTTAGTTTATATGGGTACAAATGATTTTTCTAATATAATTTTTTTATTAAATGTAATTTGCATTTCATTTTAGGTGCACTTTTTTTTTTAGAAAGAAAACTGAAGTAAAGTTCCTCCTGTGTTTTTGTTGGCTTTGCTGATAAAGTCAAATGACTCAGTTCTCATGGGTAAATCTACTTCTGTCAGTCTGACTGATGGTGCAGATAAACAAGCAGATAAACTTTTTTTTTTTCCATCTGGGGGTTCTTTTTGTGGGCTCTAGTGTCCTTTATATGAAAGTAGGATAACAGGAAAGCGGTAAGGAGAGGGGGGAAGACATGTGGCAAATATTTTTGGGTCCGGCAATCGAACATGCGACGGCGCATCAAGGACTCAAGGCCTCCAAATGCGGGTTGCACTATCCCCTACGCCACTACAGCACGCCCTACAAGCAGATAAACTAAGCCTTTTTTCACTCATAATGCTTGTTTTACTTAGCTAAAGCATGCTAATTTAGTGAGAAATGACAATAGTTTTATGTAGGTTTTTTCTCTAGCAAGATTCCTAAAATAATAGTGATAACAGACAGATGTTTATGCATATTATTGCACTATTGTAATCAAGCACCTTCCACCCCTACATCCATTATCTTCGTCTATCTGAGGTCGGGTGTTGGGGGCAGCAGACTTCCCTCTGCCCTGCCTCTTGGGTCAGCTCCTTAAGCGGGAATCCCAAGGTTTTCCCAGACTCTCCAGGATGTCCTGGGTTTTCCTCTGGTTCTCCACCAGTGGGACCTGACCAGACCACCTCACCAAAACTGAAGCTTATAAAAGTGATGTGCAAACCATCAGTCCTTTACTTAACATTTGATTTTAACAGCAACTGTCATCAAAGTAATTTATTATCCACTATATAATTTTGGATAAAAATCTTTTAAAAAATTTTTTATAATCAAGTTTTGAAACTTAATATATGATTTGCTCGTGTCTTTTTGCCCCTTTGCTGTTTCTTGTTCACGTAATTCATTTTGTTTCCACCTTCTTGCATGTCATACTTATGAATAAACTACTTTTGTATCCATTTACTTAACCATCTTATCTTATTTAGGTAGTGATACATTTCAATACATTGAGAGAAACATTTTCTTTAACATGCAAGCTTGTGTTAATTGTACTGATTAATGTGCTGAAGTCTCTTGTGAAACACAAGCATTTTTGCCCTCTTATCAAGTCAGTACAACTCCAGCAATCACAAAATTATGTTTTCTTAAAGAAGAAAACAACATTGAAAAATATTTTAAATGAGTGAGATGTTTTAAAAATTGTTTGAAAGGAACTTGGGAAGCAGCGATTTTGGTGAAGGCCTGGATCTGTAACGATAAACCACCTAAAAATAATTTCAGTGGTGGCTGAAATTCTCAACAACTTTTCAATTTATTTCTTCCAGTTATTACGAGACATGGACAGGTGTGTGTCATAATGAACCTCACAAGTTTGTTCTTTCTTTTCAGGATTATCCCATCAGCACTGCCGATTTCAGCATCTTCAGAAAACATCTTAGTTTTGAAGAGAGGGGATTTCCACAATGAGAGATCGATTGGAGGAGCTTCACCAGACAGCTCAGGAGTTGTCAGGGACAACAGCCGGCCCTGCCAATCCTTTCTCAGAGGAGGGTGACGATGAAGATGAATCTGTGGAAGCTGGGACCATTACGCAGCAGGCCGTGGTGTTTGAGGAGGAACCGGTCATTCAGAATTTCCTCTCCGAGGCTCAGCAAATCAGAGATGACATCTCAACACTTGAAACAGAGGTCAGGTGGAAAAAAACAAAAAAAGAGAGCCAGATTAAAGTATTCATACCTTGTGAATAGTGCATCAAGTTTCCACACATTTCTTCTGGAGGTGAAAGGGTTATGGATGTACTTGCTTTGCACATGTACAGATGGAATTGACAATTATTTCCTAGCACAACAGCTCAAGAATAGTCTGACAGGATGTCTGAAAGGACCAATTTTTAAGTGTTGCCACAGATTCCAAAATGAATTCAGGTCTGGGATTTGACCATTCGGTTATTATGACACATGAATATGCTTTGTTCTAAGCCACGCCATTGTCACTTTGTCTTCAACTGTCCGTGACATGTTCACTGCAAAAACACAAAATCGTACCAAGTGTTTCTATCAAGTTTCTTGAGCAAATTTCTCAATACACTTAAATATGATAACACTAACTTAAAAGTAACTTTTCATCAATAGAGAGGAGTTAATTCTTGTATATTGATAAAAACTACTAGTTTCAGTGGCAGACATTTTCTCTACAACCAAGACAATTTTTCTTTTCCAAGTGAAATATAGTATTATAGGCCAGAAGAACTAGTAATTTTTATTAATATGCAAGTTACTTGCAAGTCAGATTTTTATATTTCTAGGGTAATAAAATATTTGAACTAGAAACTACAGAAAACATAAGATTTTGGGTTATTGCAGTGTTGGACCCCCATTCCAGCCTTGTCTTCTATTTGGTTTTCTTTCAGGATTGCCACTTGCCAAGCTTAATCCATAATCCCTATGTCACTGCTAAAGAAAACCCGCTCTACATCACCACTGCCACCACCAAGTTTTAATCTGGGGATGGAATGTTCAGCGTTATATAAAGTGCTGTTTTTCCACCATGAATAGAATTTTGCACATGGGACAAAATGTTCACTATGTAACGGTCTCAAGTTCATCTTTAGCCACAGGTTTACTTTTTCTGCTACAAAATTTGTGGCAAACTCCAAACAGTATGTTTCCAGTTGTTGCAGTTTTCTACAGAATAATGCCCGTTTAGATGTCCAAAGCTTGAAATATTGTTTTGCAGCCTAAACTTGCTGAAGTTTTCTCCTCTATTAACGTGTTGCTTGGTTTTTGGGATGAAGTTTTGAACGATTTGATCTAATTTTACCCAATCACTAAAGTTTTGCCATGACATATGTAATGCACCTGCTTGATGAATATTACTGGAAACGACTCTGAGCGGATTAGGTCCATAATGACTCAGTATTTGAAAGCGTGTTCAACATGGAGTGAATGGCTTCACTCAATTCCTCCACTGCCTTTCCCAAGATGCCATCTTACCAAGGCAAACTACAATTCTTAAACTGTGGAGAAAATGGATGTAATCTTTCACACTTTTTCTGTTCGCTTATTTGCCCGGTGGAAGTTTTACCAGTAAAATCCAAGCAGGAGCGCTGAAGGGAGATGAGAATAGAACTGCGCGGAAAAGCAATGGCCAGGCTGACAACAGACAAGCGATATTATTACTTATTAAAGAAGTTGGCTGCAATGTTTTTTTAAAAGGGGAGTGAATACAAATATACTATACTTTTTGCTTATTAATGAAAGCTTTTGAAAAGTATTTCTGATTTTCCTTCAAAATTCAAGTTATGTGTTTCTCTCTCACAAAACATTTACTAAAGAGAAGATTTGTGGCTGTAACATAACCACCAGCTATTATGATACGTGAAGAAGACTCAAAAACTCATTTTGCTATTTATATTCCTCTTGTTCATTAGCTTTTTTTAAATGATAAAATTACATATTTGGTAACTCATATTTAACACGGAGGACTGACTTGAGATTTTCTTTTCAAGTAATGTTTGTGGCTCATACTGAAACGTTACATCTACTGCTGAAGGTCCTGAAGTTCTGTCAGCAGCAGAAGACCCTGGTGGCAACCATGCGTCGCTTCAGCGTGATGAAGAAAGAGAGCAGCATAACACGAGACATCAAGCTGCAGGCCGAAAGCCTCCACCGCCGGTTAGACGCCCTTTCAAAACAAGCCCAAAGAACTGAAGACCAGCTGGGAACTAATGCTGTCGCAGTGAGAATACAACGCTCCCAGCATGCAGCTCTGCATCGCAGATTTCAGCAGGTCGGAAAGGACAGCTTTCCTTTTGCATTTGACACTTGAAAACAACTCTGTTTCGCTACCTCTGCTCTAAAGCTTCATGAATTCACATGAATAGAAGATATGCTTCAATTCATTGAAAAATGGAAAGATTGAAGATGACAATAAGAAATCTTTTTATCTCTCTGTAAAAATCTCTACATTGGAGTAAACGTCCTTATCTAAAAACAGCACTGAAAGAACTGACACACATATAATTACTTATTTTATGTCTTTCTACAACATGTGCAGATGCACATAGTGTGATGAAGCTGAAAAATATCTAATAAATTATGGATATGTTAAAAAAGATGGAGGTGAAATACCCTCTCATTCTTCAACCCCCGCCCTCCTTTCTCATTTTCTCTTTTGCTATAATTACTTCCAGGTGATGCGCCAGTATAATGAAGGTCTGCTGACCAAGCAGGATCGTTGTAAGCACTTCATTATGCGGCAGCTGGAGATATTGGAAAGGAATGTAACAGAGGAGGAGGTGAATGAGATGGTCGCCACAGGAAATTGGGAGGTGTTCAACGAGAACTTGCTAAATGATGTCAGAATCACACGGTCACAACTGTCTGAGATCGAACAGCGACACAGGGTGAGAGCAAAAAAGCCCAAAAAGGGTCATGAAGTCTTTAAACAATTATACTTCCTAAAGAGCTAAATGCAAAGATTTGGATAAAATAAATCTTATTTTAACATTAATCGTCTTGACAAACCTGTCTTTGTCAATATCAAATAAAATTTACCAAAGAAAACACAAATCTTTCCTAATCAGGCCCCCTCACATTTGATTAAGACCAGCAGTGACTAGTTACCAATTACATCTACTCAGTTACATTTACATGAGTCACTTTTTGGAAAAAGAAATGTACTGTAGGAGTTTTATTCTACTGTACTTCATACTTTTACCAGATTGATATTATGAAGTATTGCTACTTTTTTTTTTTTTTTTTTTTACAATTTCTGGATATTCCACCCACTGAGATTAACCTAATGAATTATGTTAATAGAAGATGCATGAGATACAGAGACAAACCTGCAAGCTTCACTATTTGAAAGTTATTTTCTATTATTGTCGTTCAAAAAGTTACAGGAAATACTTCATGTTGTCACTGGAAGTACTTCACATTGCCTTCTGAGAATTAATTAACATAAGCTTTGAAATGAAAAATATGGTTTGGAACTGTGTTTTTTCTCTTGTAGTGCAATTGTTATTAATTTATTTTCATTTTAATCTTTAAAATAACAATATTTGCACATGTATTTTTTTCTGGTTGATTATATCGTCATAAAATACTAAGTCAGATCTTTTTACTGAGCATTTTCTTTAGCTACTTTTAACTTGAGTGAAATTATATTGGCGTAGTGCTACAACTTTTGAATGTCAATGGATTCTTATTTCAGAGTGAAGGGAAGAATGAGCCTGATGCTCTCTTAGGTTTTCCTTTTGTCTTGTTTGGAAGACCTATCACAACACTGCAGTAGGATGTTTCCTAACAATTCTAGAAATGTTTCTATAAATGGAGAAGGATTCTGCATTTCCGCCATCAGTTTGACTTTCACTTTGGAAGCAGGATCACTATTAGTATTTTTCTAATTTTATCAGCAGTGCAAGAGAAGCGAGAGTTTTCTGTTTAAATTGAATAAGTGGTTTTGTGCAATAATGGTAGCGTTTTGTGGCAAAAATCAGGCACTCCATCATGCACTACATGCTCTAGAAGACTCAGCACAGACTATTCATGTTCTGGCTCATTTTTAATATTTTGCTCTTAATCCAAGGTAAAGGGGCCCAAAGAGGACATAACCTTGTCAAATACTCTTTAAAAATGTAAAAATAAAACAAAAAAGAGAGGAAATCTAAGTCTGAGACAAGGTCACTTTAAGAGTTTGTAGATTATGATCTCCATTACCTGCCTAATGTCTTTTTTTATGTCTGTTATAATATTTATGTTATCTTCCTCCACACCCAGGAACTCTTGAGCCTGGAGAACAATATGAAAGAACTAAGAGACCTCTTCATGGATATCTTCATGCTTGTAGAGGAACAAGGGGCTGATATTGAACACATCCAAACTAATGTTGAGCGAACACAAGATTACGTTGCTGCAACTAATGAGAAGTTCAAGGCGGCTGCAAGATATAAGAAGAAGAACCCGATTCGACAGCTGTGCTGCTGCTGTTGTCCTCCTTGGAGATGCTGCATGTGAAACAAGAGCATTTTGTGCCTGAGAGTTTCCTCCAAATAAGGTTTTATTTCAAACACTTGTGACTAACTTGGAAGTCAGCAACACAAGTGACATTAAAAGGAAGGTAAAAGTGTTGACGTTGTTGCTGCTGCTAAGAAAGAGCAATGGTGAGTAGAGACGCAGCAGAGCACAGAAAACAATTAGAGAGGAGGGCAGGAATTGCTATGGGAAGGTACTTGTTTCTTTCAGGAGGAGGTGAAGTGACTGCGATTGGAAGAGACAGTTCAGTGAGTTCTACTCACCAACATTCTTGTTTATTGGAGACCTTCACTGTCATCTGACAGAGGTCACAAACAAGAGGAGGCTACTGACACTGCTGGATCAGCAAAAACAATATTCCAGCCTTTTTACTGAACAGTAAAGCACTGTTTTTCCCCTCTGCCATAAGAATCCTAATGGGGAAAGAATTGTTTTTTAAAAACATGCACTTTCCAGGATTCACTTTTCATTTTGGGGGCGTGAAGCAAAATTTTCTCACAATGAGAAGAATTTTATTTTCAGAAAAAAAAAAATATTTTGCATACATTTTATTTTTGGCAACGTATTAATTAAAAAAATACCTTTGAACATGTACTGTATTTCAAGTCCTAATCATCTTTAACTATATTTTTTATTAATAAATGCAGTTTTATATGAATAGAATACAAATAGTTCTGGGATGACAAAAACCTTTGAATATTGCTAATTTTAGAAGTCACTGACCATTTAAATGAAATGTAATACATCATTTTTCAAAGTTTTTTTTTTGTGTCTGATATAAATTTAAAATCTGAATCAAATCTGTAATTTCTTTAGATGAGACCCCAGTCAGCATACTAAGATGTGTTTTATTATATAAGTGAGTATTGGCCTCAGGGAAAGAAGCCTGAATTCTGGGAATTTTACATTTAACAAAACCCATAACAAAACTTATCTCTCACGATTTCCTTGAATTTAGCTAAGACTGTTAATTCACAACTTCAGCAAAAATAATGGGAAATGAAGTGCTGACTAATGCATTCATCATCGCTCTGGCTCCCTGGTGAACCGTCCTCTATCCAGAGAAGACGATGGCGTTCCTCTGTGACTCAGCGGCCAACGGTCTCCGGTGTCCACAGCAAAATACAGGTGCAGCTGGGTGTGTGAGTGAGAGCCAGCCTGGAAAATCCAGTTGGGCCACTTTTCCCAGATAGCAGCAGGTTAAGTTGTGAGAAGTGTATAAACAGAACAGTTAACCTGTAGCAGATTGCTCCTCCTCGATGAATGTTTTCGTTTCCTATGATTCTGTCTCACAAGCATTGAAACAAATAGAGGATTACATATTTTAAAATCAGTTTATTGAAATTCCTGAGACTTTCACAAATTCAGCTCAAGTCCAAAGCTTCTATTGAAGTGTTTTGTAACTTTTTTTATTTGCTTTACTTTTATTTTGGTTCAGTAGATGAACATGGTGTCACAGATGAAAGGTGAGGTGTGTGATGACTTCCACCTGTAGCAAGAAAACTCTTTCAATGAAACAGCTTTTCTGTGTTCCAGGATTACAAACACAACATGAGACCAAAACATGAATGCATCAGATATTCAATTTTTACTATGTAAACCAGAACAAAATACATGTAATGCATATATGAGCAATTTCCCTTGAGATTGTAAAGTAAAATGAAGTGCTGCTGCAAATTCCAAATTTCCTGAACAGCAACAATGCCATCCAGTGTTCAATAAGATAACTACTAGCTTGAAATTGGTTGTCACTTAACACTCAAGGGCAAATGGACACCAGTACAGACTCTCAGAAAAAAACAGTGCAGACATTTTTTATACAGAATGAAAACATATCAAACATTTCCAACAATCAAAGAAGTAAATATAAAATCTCAGGTCTTATGAATTACTGCAAGCAAGCATTTTAAAGTGACCAAATGCTTTTTCTGTTTGTAAAGTAATATGTAAGAAATACATTGGAGAAGAGAAAAAAATGAAGCTCAAGTAGGGAACTTAAAAAATATGTTTTTCACATATTTTTTAAAATATGTTGTGAGATTTTAACACGAGACAGATAATCTGTGAAACATTGAGCTCCTCTGTCTCCTCCCTGTGGTCCTACTGACATTGGCAAAAATGCACCACTTCCAGTGAGTAACAACCATCCAGAGTCAGGAAGAAGGTCTCAGTAATGTCAATCATGTTTGTGCATGTGCTGCTGGTTTGCTGCATCTGGCAATATATTTATAATATATAGATTTTACTTCAATGATATTGCAGATACATTAAGTTGCAAGTCATATTGTTCCTAATTTTTTCACACCGCTTTGTGTTTCACCCAGAAAGGATCATAAAAAGTGGATTTTATTTTTAGTTCAATTTATTCCCTTCAGTCATTGTGATTCTATTGCGCCAGTAACATTTTTGTTTCTCCTATTTTATTTAAAGTCAATGCAACAGTTTGTCACAATGTGGGTCCAAACGTTCTTCTCCAAATGTCGGAAAAGGATCAAAGTATCCCTTCGTTGAGTAACACGAAGTTATGGAGAACTGACATAATTTTACTGACTGTTTGTGACTGTTTTATCAGACCATCAAAATCCAACCGCAGCCCTGAGAAAGATAGATCACAAGAGGGAAGCTCCAGTAGCGGCACAAGCCCCAGAAGAATTGAATAGATGTATATAGGTCAAAATCGTAGACCTGCAAGTTAGAAATTTGAAATTAAAACAGAGGAGGAAAAAAATTGTGGGACAGTAGAATTAAATTAGTTAAAATAGCTAAAGATGCAGAAGGATCATAATCTTATTTTTACAACTTTACTCTAAGTAGCTTGGTTCCTCAACAAGTCAACTCAGTAAATTTAACACAAGTCAAGTTTCTTCCCTTTTCTCATCAATCTAAAACCTTTAATAAAAAAAACTTATTTTACACATAATCAATGCCACCACCAGAGGGTGATGTTATGAGACAAAGCAGATTTCCATCCTTCCATTGCTGTGGTTCCAGTCGCTAGCATGGCATACCCTGGACCGGTCCATCACAGGACAATACAGACCCGCAACCATGTGTGAACACAATAACAAAAGCCAATATTGGTCATAATAATTTGTTGAGGTGAATTGTAAGTATGTTTGCAGCGTTCACATAGACATGTATCCAAGGTGAAATATGGAAGACACAAAAAAAGAAGACATAACTAATCAGAGGAGTAAAGGTATAGTGTGTGACATTATTGAGCACTCAAAGGTTCGTTTTTACTCCAATTGCATTTCAGTTGCAAACGATCAAGGAAAAAAACATTGAGAGAAGTGTGGAAGGAAGAGAGACAATGGTAAAATCATCTATTTCTATGTCAATTTTGTAGAAATGTAAGAAATTTAATTAATTGACTAGTTTTCCTTTAGCCTAAATCTCCGATTATTTTTTATGCCAGTACTAAAGAAATATTTCAAATTAAGTCCTCACTGTCTATTTTCCACCTTGAATGCTGCATCTTTAAAGATTTTGAATATTTTTGACATTTTCTTTTTTCTCAGCAAGGTATGCAATGTCTAAATATTACATCCAGTATAAAAACAAATGCTTTACATTTCTGTTTTAAAAAAATATTTCTTTCCTTCTTTCTTCTTCAGCAAACAGATCAGCTTTTTTGTTTTTACAGAGGCAGAAGCATCACCACTGTCGCCTGGGGAGGTAACAAAGTAGGCCTGTCTGGCGATAATATGGTTTCTTTTCCTGACAATATAAAATCAATAAAAAAGATATGGTCATTTTAGAACTTGTTATTGAAACCTAATGCAGGCCTTCACTGACTAATGCAGCTTGATGAGGAATATTGAAAATTGTTTTACTGCATTCCAATTTTGTTGCATTTTATTTATAAAAAGAAGGGAGATACTTTTCTAAGCATGTGTAAGATGAGATTATGTCAGGGATGTCTTTAGCTTATTTGACAGATGGCTGGATCACTATAAATGGGAGCGCCGTAAATCAAACCACAAATAAGCTCTAGATGTGTCAGATCACAACTAATATTCCAATCCTTGCTTTTCATTCCGTTTTATGCAGAAAATTTCGCCGATCTAAGATGTTATGCCAGACATAGTTGTCATTTGTGATTTTTGAGAAGGACCACCACACACGCAGGAGGTTGGCATGACTATACTGGGAGTGATTTAACAACGAAAGACAAATGAGGAAACGTGTGCAGCAGGGAACAAAGGAAAATAAATCAATAGGGAGAAAATCTCCCAGGCACACAGAAAACAGGAAAGTTCTACAACAAGTGAAACAACACAAGAGTAAAAATACAAAAGAGAGCAATTAATGGGACAATGATCAGGTGAATAGAATTAACTGATGTGTCATTTGGGAGTGGGACCAAGCAGAGGCAACTGAGGACAAACAGGTAAATACTATGTGAGAAAAAGGAAAAAAAAAGAAACCCTGATGAAAACCCATGAAAGGAAACACAGGGATGAATAAAACAATTGCAAAGGAGAATCAAAGACAAAGGAGATCAACAAAATGCAAAGTGCACAATATCATAATCGCATCAAATCTGTGACAAAACCTCCACTTTTGTTGATTTTCACATTGACATTGAGGTTCCTCTTTCATAATCTAATTGTGCTCTTTATTTCAGCACTGTTCACAGACAGTCACTCTTAGCTTGAGTTCAAATAAAACGATTCTCTGCATTTTTCTCCAAAACTTTCTTCAAACTAAACAGCAATAATAACTGTTTTCAATCAGCAGCTGCAGCTGTGAATGTAACCTGCAATCATACAGTCAATCTGAGCCAGCAAACAGAGGAAACAGCACGTTCAAATTATCTGTCTTGGTTTCTCTCCTGAAACCTTACAACAAGAGATTAGAATTTTAAAGATGATCCCCTTAGATTAGGAAAGGAAAAGAAAAAAAAAGACAAATACATGTCCCAGTTCAAATTGAAAGTTCCAATACACTGATGAATACCCCATGACAGCAGAGGAAACCAATCATAGAATTAATGAAAACTCCCTCCCAATGAAACACATTAAGCCAGCAGAGGGAGCTCATACCTTATAATAATGAGACCTCACCGTGCTTTTCTGCTCAATAGTTCTACACAAACCAATAAACAGTCCTTGTCAGACTTTGCCCTGCAGTTGTGAATATTTTTGCAGCTTATGGTTGTAAACAAACCATTTAGGCTTCCATCAGTGTGCCATTACCGCAAACTCAATGGCATCCTTTTCTGTTCCTTTGTGTCGCGTATTGATTCATGCGTTCCACAATGAGAGGTAAACAGTGGGAGGGCAAGCCAAGGCAGAGCTGACGCGTGCACGTCAGGACGGAGGACAGGTGAAAATTAACTGAGACGTGGGTGAATAAAACATGTCTCTGAGGATGTTTCCTGGTTTTACCCCTCCAAGGGCTCAGAGGGAACTGTACGCCTTCCTGATGGTTAATCCTCCCTGCAGTGAGGGGGCAAACTCACTGAGCCTTACCGGCACGCACACACACTTTTATTCTGCTGTACTCGGCTAAACCACATTAATTGCAATAAATAATGTCCGATGTAATTTATTGCATGCAGCATGTTATAAAAAAGTAAGTTTTGCGTATAAGAATAAATTTTTACTCAGCAATGTTGCGTTTTGCAGTGCTTTCACTTACTGATCAAATACCTTCAGGGGAACTTTATAACCAACTGCAAGAAGAAGCTTTGAAAAAAAAAGAAGAAGAAGCTCATCTGACTAATTCC